CACTTGTTTTATTTGCTTTTTGCATAATCAAACTGAAATATTACTAGCAAATTTGCAGTACGTATTAACTTTACAATAATATTTTATCGTCTCAGTGTTCCTAGCCACAAGGTATTCACGCCCATAAGTGCCCAAGCTTACAACAATTCTTAACTTATTCTAACCTATTCTTCGATAATGCCTTTTTATGGTAAATGAAGATTTTATCTACACACTATGTTCTGAAATGACGCTGGTCGTGCTTAAAAAGAGAGCTGGGTGCTGAATTAAGTCTTTTCGTTCTGAAGTAACGCTAGTCCGCGCTGAATATGTCCTGTGAGGGCTGAAAAAACGCTGATAAGCAAACGCAGTAGGTTCTGATCTACTCCTGAGAATGCCTAGAAAAAGAACACGGTGCTGAATTAGTGCCAGTCATGCTGAAAACCAGCACTGAGTTCTAGTCTGTGCTATTAAAGAATCCATTTCAGAACAGATTCAGAAGTTACTCACTATAGAACGTGAGAATTATTTCAGAATTAGTGAGATTTAATTTAGCATTATGGTAAGCTCGGGTGAATCAAGTTGTAAAATTCAGTCTATGAGAATTATTAGCAAGAATATAAAACTTGAAGACATCAAACACTTGTGTTGATTATACGTAACAAACACGTGTTTGTTTGCACATTAGGTACCTAATTTGCAATAGAAATCAAGGAGTGAGATGCACCAGAATTGACAATTCAGACTGTTTATATAGTGACTAGCGAACAATAGCAAAACACTTAAAGGCCTTTTACGCAGTAGTTAAAACTATGCCCACCTGAAAAAATTTGCAGGAAATCGAAATATGCGTGTTTATCACTATACACATAGCAATGCGTTCAGTATTCAATTGTCAGAGTGAATCGAAAGAAATACACACATTCTTTCTACATAATTTAGGTATCCAGAAAAACTTCAGCTGAGAAAATAGTATTTTAGACGTAATGGACCAACAAATGTTTGTCCACATTAAATACGATAGTTTCATTACAATTTCAAACACTCAGCTACTGTGCAGTGTAGATTTGGTTATCTAGGAAAATTTATTCAACAGTCATCATGCACCCTTTCAAGAGTCATCATGCATCTTTTTAAATTTCTATGTGTAATCTCTGAAGGTGTCAACCAGTACAACTTTTCACAGAGAATTTGTATGCATACCTGTAGATTGAACTGCTACAGCAGAACGTAGTCTCTCAGTATCTTACCTGTTAGTTCACTTCTCGGTATTTGATTGGCTGAAGTTACCGGTCGCACATATCTTTCCCATATTTTCGTACGTCACATCTCCTGTTAGTTTCATAAACTTCAGCCTACATTTTGCCTGCAAACAGCACTATATTCTGCATATGTGAGTGTCATTTACCCGTCTATACCTTCTTTTAAATCAGCTTCACCCATGGCTCATTAGAGTCACCTTTTATTGCCTGTACCACTCCTAAGGACGTTAAGTTTGTATATTTTTTGTTCCATCCTAATGGACTTAGTAGCAGAATAGGTGTTTGACACAATTATCGTACCTAACTCAGACGTTTCGTAGGGTTCGTTAAAATAAGAAATCCCGAAGCTAAATTCTATAAGGGACTGATAACTGATTGACTAAATAATTGCAGGCGAATACTGAAACTAAAAATAGGCGGTTGACAGTTGCGAAATGTTATTCCACACTATATGAATTTATCCCATAATATGCAATGTTGCAGAAGTAATAACTAGATGACTTCCGGAGCAAAATCTATCACCCATGTCCATATCGATATATCTGAACAACTTCAGAACTCGTCTTATATGCTTTCACTCTCCCTTGCTTTCCGTTAAAATATCCCAGAAAAAATTTACTTACTTATTCATCCGTGCACGTAGAGTGCACGTGTTTTGTTTTGATTTGATAGACGAAATTCGGTGATTAAGTACTCTAGCAAAATATATTACTTTTTATTACTTTAGCCCTATCCCAACCTATGGTGCGTTTACGTTCAGTTGAATGTATCTCAGTGATAGAAATGCTCTACTGATTATTTAACTGGGAAGGGTTAGCCATATAGCACTCCCTGAGTTCCCACTTTTCAATCATCGAATTGACCCTGATCTACTAAATCGACACACATAATTCATCCCAAAGTCATTTGATAAATCATGTTTTTCCTGATTGGATTTGTCGGGTCTCTGAGACAACAAAGCTTGTTCCTGAATGGGTTTGTAGGTTTAATTTCACTTTTACTGTAACCTATTTAGGAATTCCACAAAGGTTTTATTCTGATGCCTCTTTATGTGGAATTGTTATTGAGGGCTTAGACTCCTTATTATCTGTATTATTTTTTCCACTTAAACCACTACTCTTCCTATGCGTTTTTGTACTTTTTAGGCATAAGCTGGTGGGAGGCTTTTCATCACTTTTTCCCTATTTATCAGTTTATTACTTAAATCTTCTGAATTACTGGTTAGGCTCCTGGCTGGATTAAATGAACGTTTAATCGTTTTAAGTGTGGGGAATCAAGGTCTAAGTACATACAAGAGTGTGAAATATGTCTATACATGCAAATGCTTGACACGCCATTCCGTTTTCGTCTACTCCCATTTTCTTGACCCACTAATTTATCAAGTTCATTTTCAAATCAGAAAGTGTATTAGATTCAATGGACTACTGGATTTATGTGTTAAAAACTTTAAAAAATGTTAGATGAATGCATTGTCTGCATATGTGGACCATAACTTAAGAATATAACTTAGCCTCTTAAGGTCTTTAAGAAAAGAAACATTCCGTCTAATCTATCCTGCATAATCTCCGTCCAAGGTTTCTCTATGTCTGCCACACGTGCCGTGAAAACTATGCCGTATTGGTTCAGCTACCAAGGAGAATATCGTCCACTTTACAAACCGCCAGGATATGAACGGCTGGAAACCTTATTCAGAAGATGAGGATGGCCGAAACGGCAGCTATCAGCCAAGAACATTTAAACAGACAGATAACCGTGAACCGATTGTCGGAGCATGTAGCACATGAGAAAACAATGATTCCAGGAGGAAGATGTCATGCTGTTACACAAACAGCAACCAAACTGGAACCGTCAGCAGAATCAGCACAAAATTGTCTGTCTTTCTACAAGAACATCCTTCATCCCCTGTGTACATCTATTTGACATGCAAAAGTGAAAGTGACTCTTTGTGCATAAGCAACTGAGCCGAATCCGGACAGCCAGAATCAACACACTATATCCTCCACTTTATCTACCTGTGATGGACACACAGTGTCTAATGGTGGAATTATGAACTGAACAATACGCGAGCTAAGCCTGTTTCACATTGGTGTTTGGGGTGTGAATTTTATGGAAATCACCACTCGCCTGCTTCACTGGGTCCTGTCGGTTTGTACCGGACGTATTCAGCCTAACAACTTGGCAGAATCCCAAGGATAGTGGCCATCTGAGAATAGACCGTCGACATTTTTGGTGAGGATACCGTTCTGCTGTTGTCACTTACTGGCTTCCTATTCCTTCACTGTTTTGTTATTCTGTTTTCTTTTTCTTCTTTGACTTTCCTCCCATTTTGTTTTGCTTGTCTGTGTATCTCTCCTCCTTTTTCACCCATAATTATGGCTTTTCTATCGTATGGTGGGAATATCTAGTGAAACGTTAAACTACCACAACAGAAGAGATGCCGTCTTACTAGGAACCATGAATTAAATAACGCCACAGCAGCCAAGTGAATATGCATATCTAAGAGACTGGAGAAATTCTTGAATCCTAACAAAATTAAAAACTTCATCTATGGTAAACGGTTCGCCTATCACTAAGATAGTAAATAAAAGCAAAGTTGAGCAAGCGTAAGAACCAGCCAGGTATCTGGCGTAAGTCTATATAGGCGGATCACATAACTTTTTCCAGAATTATTTGTAGTTATGACCGCCTGTTTGAACAGCCCAGACTATTTATGCACTTTATCGAAATCCAATAAATATCTAAAACCTTTCTACAAAGAATTCATGAGTTTTGGAAAAGCTTGCAGCAAACATTTTGGTGTTATAGCAAGCGCTTCGAAAAGGAAAGTGGCATTTTTACGTTGTGAAGTAACTTCTGCTTTCGTTGTGTAAGTCTCATCAGAAGCTTTCTGGTCTACTTTAACTGATTTAATTAGTTGAAGTATTGTTTTTGTGCCCTTTTGTGACTTTTTGTGTATATACATATTTGTCTGTGTAACTTAAACGACTTATACCGATATGAGTCTCTCAAATAGCTGCGGACGACCGGACTGCTACTTTCAGGTGGATGATGGGATGCAGTGTGATAACTGCAACCTATGGTTTCATAATGTTTGCACTCGCTTATCACCATCGAACTATGGGGGATGCAGCAAGCCATCATCTCCGTAGATGTGCAAATTTTGTATTAAACCATTGGACCTCCTCATCCAAGAGACTGTAGGACTTCTGATGTCCAAGTAACTGACAAAAACCTCAGATGAGGTGAAAAAGCAGGATCTGGTACCAATTTTATGGATGAGGATTCTGGCCTGAATGATAAGACTGAGATATAACCACATCCCCAAGCTTCGAAAGACACAACAGAGGTAAAGTGTGCCCAAAAGTCTGCAACAGCAAGCAAAAGCCCGAAAATCGACAAGGTATCTCACACCTTCCTTATCATGAGAAGATGGAGCATCTTTATCTCTCCCCATTATCATACCGAAGGAGTAGAGGTGACTTAATTTTGGCTTGCCCTATACTAAGGGGCGATTTAAGGACTGATCTTTCAAACCTTTTCTCTCCCTCTAGGATGCATTTACGAGGTCACCATGAATGGAACTCCTCACAGGATACAGTAGTAACATTTCCTTCGGTGAACGCTTTCAAAGAGAAACTGGATCTCCGAAGATATATATATTGCAACAAGAGCCTTATATTCCTATAATATGAATATGAATCTGAATCTATTGGATAATGGATATTAAGCGCTGACTTTGAGCATTACGCAACATCCAAAATGAAGTGTAAACATTGTGGGAGCTCTAATTTAGAAGAAGACCGTGCCCGTGCTGACCTAATATGTTTAGATTGTGGGATGGTTATGGGCGAAAATGTCATTTCTTCAGAGGTAGAGTTCGTTGAAACAAATACTGGTCAATGTACTGCTGTTGGTCGTTTTGTCTCAGATGGGAGTAAGTTTTGATATTTTACTCCATTTTATTTCAGGCCAAGCTCTTAACTTCAAAGAGTCACGTCAATTAACCGAAAATAAAGGTGAGCGGGAAATACTCTTCTTGTTTCTCTGTCACAAGTATGTGAAAATGAGATAATATGTTTTATATTATCCTGTTTTGTTTTCCTGAAAATTTATTTTGAGGTTGATCTTATATTTTAATGCCATACAAGCACGTGCTTGTTATGCTCGTTTTTTGGCTCCAAAAGTGCATACTACTAAGATAGCATAAGTCCGTAGATATTTGGATGGATTGAGTTACTTGAGACATTGTTTGAATTATGAAACCCTACTTAACGGCCGAAGATCCCCCTATAAAACTTCACTTTTGTTTTTGCGTTAGCTTATTGGTGACCATTCAGCTTCCTAATCAAATTCATTAATACACTTTCGTGTTTGCTATTGTACTTTTGATCTGGTTAAGAGTCTAGACATTAGGTAAAACAGACTTGTTCCCTTCTTTTAAGTGGTGTCTCAAGTGGAATTTTTGGTAATTATTTTGTATAGGTCTATATTGCACGAAATTTTGTGAGTTTGAAATTAGCATAGTCTGGAAATCGACTGATTAGTTTTTAACAACCAATTTAGGTCTTTTTCCATCGCCTGGACAGATTTATTAATATCTCTGAATAAAAGCTTGAATTTAAGAAGCAGCGCAAACCATGTCTAAATTCTTTTCACATGTTTGTCCACACTTAGTCACCAAAATGGTTTTAAGAACTTCCAACCATTAAAATGAGTTTACCCATTGGAACTGTTACCATCCTGCATACAATTACTTGGCCTAGTTGATTATGAAGTCTCAATGCTTTTATCATCATAAGTTATTTTGGTTAGCTGATTCATTTGAAAATTTATCCTGATTTGATGTTAGATTTTAAAGGATACATGTCACAGAAATTTACACTTCGGGTGCTCTTACTGACTTAATGTGACGTGGTACATTCAGACTAAAAGTCTCGTTTGCTTGTTGACTAATTAGTGTTCACTTCTACTTATCGTTATTTATGTTCTAACCTGTTTGAAATTTGATCATTATAGCTCGTCGAAGGATTGATACCATTTGTGGCCAGTTGCGTCTTGGCAATGATATAACAGTCTCTGCCTTTCGTTATTATCAAAGTGCACTTTTTCGTGGACTTACAAGGGGTCGCAATGCTTTTACAGTAGCTGCGGGCTGTATATATTTAGCAGCCCGCCAGTTGCGCGTCAATTTGATGTTATTAGACCTCAGTGATGCAGTTGGAATCAATGTTTATGTTCTTGGTCGTGTCTACGCTGATCTAAAAAAGCGACTTAATTTAGCCATACCAGAAATGGGTTAGTTCAAGTTTTGATGATGATCTTAAAGACTTCTCAATGTTCTCCCCCCTTTTTATCTGTATCTTCTATCGTTTTTATATTATTTTTATGTTTTTAAAAATCACTTTTGAGTTAAATAATTATGAAAGTGACATGGATTTGTATGTTATATTGTTTAGAAAGCAAAACAATCTTTAAAACATTCCACCGTTTAGTACTAGTAGCTTCATCAATGCTGGTGCACCAGAATGCCCTACTTAGAAATTCATGTTCATTACAACGACCGAATTCTTTTGCATAAGTAATTCTGTTTACATAGCAATTTGTACTGAACAAAAAGCATTTATATCCTTTTTATAGTAATCACAAATATTAAGTTGCGTATGTAGTTTCTACATTTTCACTGTTTGCCAAAAGCAGTCTAAATACGGTGGTAGTTTTTGTATTTGTTATTATTTGCACATTCTCTTATGTGCATCATAAATCTTTTACGGATCTGTCGGGGATATAAGAGCACATAAAAGAGAAATTTTACGCTGGTATTTCCTTCATAGTGTATGTAGATTATTATTTTAGAAGCATCTCGTTTGAATCCTGCCGTTACCTATACCTATATTTCATCGATTATTGGTGATTACACCAGTGGTAGTCTCACAGTCTAGAACCATACAGGATAATCTCAGTCTAGATATGTAAATGGCTGAAGAATAAAAAGTGGGGATATTTAGATACTACTTTTGTAAAGTGGATAATGAATAGGGGAATTTGTTCTGTTTAGGAGCCAAACTTGTTTTATTCCTCTTGTATATATACATATATATATGATCTTTCCTAACTTATTTCAGATCCTTGTATCTATATTGATCGCTTCGCAAGTCAGTTGGAGTTCGGTGACAAAGTGTCCACAGTCGCTACAACCGCCATGCGTCTGTTACAAAGGATGAAGAAAGACTGGATCGCTACTGGTCGTAGGCCTAGTGGATTGGCTGCTGCTGCACTACTTGTTGCTGCTCGAATTCATGAATTCAATAGGACAGAGGAGGACGTAGCTCGAATTGGTATAATTCCTCCTTTATTATCTGTCTTCATAATAACCGATTTTATACGATTAAGGAAAGAAACTTGATAACCAAGTGCACTTTTTTCAGTGCATGAACTAGCAGCATTTTTTTTCATTTTATCACATTTTATACAAGCATCATACTGGTAGCACTTTTAGAAACCACTCCATCAGCATTCTTGATATTCCATACACTTAAAAAGGCACAATTATTGGTAACTACAAGTGATAATTTTGACAGTTGTCAGTCGAACAGTGCTTTTTATTTACCAAACTTCAGGAGCTAGAAGTAGGGAAAGAGGCGTAGTAGACATCTATTCACCGAGTGGTTAAATTTTAATCAGCGCAGGAAATTCAGACCTTTTATAAGAGTTTGTCTTGTGCATCCTTTGATTAATAAGTTTCAATAAACAGTAGTGTTGTTGCTTTGTTATACTCAGTGAATACGGTAAACATTTTATTATTATCATTATTTTCCGATGAATTCTAGATCAAGCCTTTTCACTAATTTATTTATGTGATTTCAGCTCGGATTAGTCAGAGTACTGCACGCAAACGTTTAGAAGAATTCAGTCGTACTCCATCATCCGCTCTTAGTATTGAAGCATTTTTCTCAGTTGATTATGATGAGGAGCAAGATCCTCCAGCATTTGTTGCTTCAATGAAGCAGGAGGATGAAAAGTTGAAAGTAAGTTTACCTTATTATATTATTTATTCGGTTTCTATCCACACTGTAGAGTACCATGTATTTTTCTACCGTTTATGAAAACGTCGTAAAATTAGTATTTTTTGGCTGTAAATGTCAGTTTTGATAAGTGAAAATTTTTATAGTGTTTACTTCATAATCTAAGTCATTGTTTTATGGTTAAGATAAAGCAACTCATCACCAATTGGCATGAAATAAATGCGACCGCTGTTAAACCTGACAACTGTAGGTCAAACATCATATGTCCTTACGTACTCACTGTTAAAAAATAGTAGACTAGTATAGAACAGGTGGGTGTTGAGTCCCATTTGAAGTTTAGTGGTTGGTTAAGTGACATCATCTTGGGATGAAGACTGTTTTGAAGTCCATAAGTAAACTAGGCATGTGAATTATTTGCTAAACGAAAACCATTGTAGTTACGTAGTCTTAAGTTTGTTTACTGAAACTTGGAAATTATGTAGTGTGGTCACCAAGCCATATGTGATCTGATAATTGAGGAAATATGGGTTTCCTCAAGATTTCAGGAAAGCCTTGTTGATAAATCCGGTCAAGCACGAAACCTATGTCCAGAGCTTTGTGGTGCTAACTCACTTAAGAAGTGAGTTTTTATTTAATATTTCTTGCTTGTTTTATTTTAAAGGTGTGAAATTGTTTACTTTAGTATGTTTGCATAGACAAACCTCTGAATGTACCGACTTATTCACCTGTTTATTCCGTCAAGTGTAGTAGGAGCAAATTTCTTCATACATCACTTAATTAGAATTAAGGTAGCCAAAAAGAAATGCCTGATATACAGGGCTTTGAGTCACGCTTATTGTGTAAGGGATTATGCATTTGTTCAGGATGAAATAGGTAGGCAGGACTCGAACCTACGTCGTGTTTGATATTAGATGGTTGGAAGCAATTGGCAGGAAGCCTTGGACCTAGGTTTCGTGCTAGTTGGTACTTGTCAGCAAGGCGTATCTGCAACCTTGAGGGAACTCATGTCCCTTTTGAGATTGGAACCCGCGTTACCAAAAGCTACAGTCAGAGACGTTACCACTGAGGTATTCGGGGTAGGAATTGACCTCCTGTTGGACTCTTTTGGATACTTTGTTTGGACTAACTAGTGTCTAATCAAACTAGGTCGTTTTTGTTGAAAGTCTGCTTCTGAAGTCAGTGAATCGTGTCTCGGAAAGTTAACAGAAATTGAACTTCCACTAGGAACAAGTACACCCTTTTCTGGAGTATATTATTACTTGAAAAGTACTGTGTATCTAGGAACAGCTTTAATCCTGATCATATATAATTTTCGCTCTATTCAAATTGTCGTAAATTCCTTTCAGTTATATTTACCATAAAGCTTTCATTTTTTGTATGATCAGAGTATGTCAGAGGGTGCAATGGCTCGTATAACTATGGAGATAACTGAATTAGAACGTCGTATAGATACTGAACTACAAAAGCTGTCTGGGAAATACACAGCTCGTACAATTTCTACACAACTTTCTAAAATAGGTAAGTTTATTTTGAAGTCATTTGTGATAGTTTTTGTAGTCTTATTGACTGACGTAGACCTCTGTACAAAATGCAGCAATATACATTGCTACACTCCCCAAAAGCACGCAAAAGTAGGGGAGAAATTGAAGCACAGTGAAAGGAAACGTACGAGATAGGTAATAATCAGAGGCGGATCAATTAAGAGTTTTGAATCTAGAAGATAACAAGGAGGGAATTCGTCTGTGCTTTTTAGGATGATCATGATCCATGCTACCAACAGTCTCCGGCTATTAGATCTTGGTATCTCAAGGATATGAGGCAGACAATTTATACATCACTACGGGACTCACTAGTCGAAGACTCCATGGGTATGTGCCAGATTCTCGCGTGACATTAAATAAAAGTGATGTTGGATTTCTCTGACGGATAGCACTAGTTGTTATTATTTCAGATGAAATGGGTCTTGTGTCTAAGCTTAGAGAAGAGGGAGTATATCGTTGCAGGCAAGGTAAAGAAAATTCCTATCTGTGGCTTTGAACAGTTCACAACTTACTTATATATCTAACATACATCAACTTGTGCCACCTCTGGCGCCATCGCTATGTTAGCCTGGCTGTCAAAGGTCGGGTATACAATGCTTCGGTGAGGGCTGCCTTGCTCTACGCCTGTGAAACCTGGCCTCTCCGAGCTGAGGATGTGCGGCGACTCTGCGTGTTCGATCATCGCTGTCTCCGCAGGATTGCTTGCGTTCGATGGTATAATCGCGTGAGTAATTCTGAGGTTCGGCGGCGTGTGTTTGAACACAGTGGAGATCACCATTCATTGAGTGTCGTCATCAGGAAACACCAGCTCCGATGGCTTGGACATGTGCTGCGAATGTCATCCCAGAGGCTTCTGTACAGGTCTCTGTTCGCTAGCCCTGGGACGGGATGGAAAAGGCGGAGGGGTGGTCAGTCCATGACGTGGCGTCGTGGGATGAAGGATATTTGTGCTAGATTAGCATCGGTTGGTGTGTCATGACTCCCTGGTTGGAATCCACGAGATAGCTCGAATCGATGGCTCGAAACGTTATCGGATATGGCCAAGAACCGTAATCAATGGCAAACGTGTTGCAATTTCCTTCTTTCTTCCCTTCCTAATGGTAGTTAACGAATACTGTTTGAACTTGTTAAACATGACTGTTTTCCTTCCAGATGAAGTTCTTTATCCGTTTTCTACTTATATTTTTACTTTTGATGTATGTTGTTTTGTTATTATTGTGTGGCGCATCTTTCTTGGTGCCATATTGTACCAAGTTTTTTCTGCGTTTAAATAAATAAATAAATATACCTAACATGGCCAGCCATCACTGTTGTGCTACTCGGTGGTCTTTCTTGACTACTCAAGTTTGACATAAAGTAAAAAAATATACCTACTGAAAGAGTCGGTGCATACAAAATTTTCAGTTTTCCTCTGGATTTTGATCATGGTTTAGTGTGCCAGGTTTATTTTGCGTTTACGTGGTGTTCTTAAATATTATTCCAAACTGGTTGACATAAGCAAATTAGTTGCTCCTAATACTGCAGCTAAATATCAACGGAGCTAAATTAGAGACCAGCCAATAATGTCCCAGAAAATATTGACGAACAGTGACCGTGATTAAAATCTGATATGACGATGGTTAGTAAATCTACTTGCGGCTTATAAGGGCGTTGAGTTTTCACTAGTCCTTTGCAACAACGTCACTTCTGTTAGTTCCTCCGGGTGAGTAGCCTGTAGAAACATTTGCTTAAGTCGCCTATAAGTAAAACTAAGTAATATTACTGTTGGGACTTCGAATTCTTGTGGTTATTGTAGGAGTTGCATCCTAAAACATTTGCAAACACTGAAAACAGCTTGCCTGGTCCACACAGCCAGTGTTCTGTATTTTAAAGCACAGTGCTCCGTAGTCATTTTACACGGATCTATCTTTTACAGGTACTTTAACTGCTTAAATGTCATGTGTCGCTGAAACTATATGGAAAAAACGGAAAGGTAGTGAAATCGTAGGTGCGAAAGCAGTCATGTCAGAACAACATTTGTTGGCATACCACAACTCCCTGAACGAGGTTTATAAATCCAAGCGATGCGTGAATTTTTCTCTTTCGGTTATTTTACGAAATCAACTTAAGCAATATGAACAGGTGGAAATTAGCAACACATTACGCTTCCATAAGTACACAGTTCCGATATGCGCTTGTTTGCCTATAGTTTCTCTTTATAAGTCCTTTGTTAGTCTCAGTTATTGCCACATTTCTTTGTATTGTATTCTAAATTGTAGATGTTGGATGTTCCAAAGGCATACAGCATTTATTAGCTGAAAACTCAGATAGTTTGAAAACATCGGGCCTCCTAAGTGAACTAAAAGACGTATCGAGTGAAACTGCTGAATGTAGTGGTAACGATGATGCTATAACTAACAAAAGTAATACCTCTAGTCAAAATGAAAGTGGTGAAGTTCGCGGGATACTACGTGATGTATTGGATGGCTTAGTTGAGCCAGAGTTATTGGACAGCTGCGTTGAGGATTTGCACATTCTAACTCAACATTCTGGTACCAAAATGTGTCAACTGTTGTCTGAAGCAGAAGAGACAAGAAATCAGGCTGATATTGGTTCAGATCAGAAATTACCAGAACAAGATGTGGACTCCAAGCCGTCTGATGCTGAAGATACTAGACCCAGTGAACCTCCTTTAAAAGGTGAGCCTTATTTGTACTTATTAATGCACCTGATTTAGTTCAGTGGTATGATTACTTATTTGAAAGTCCACTTATGAATTATCCTGTGGTTAGAACTTATTCATTAGTCTCTTTGAATCACTGAATTGCTGCATTCACAGAAATTAGTATTCGCTGGTAAATATTCGTAAAACATTAGTATTTGCAGTTACAGGATTTGCATTGATTAGTTTTCGCCTCTGAGCACGAAAACCAGTGGTCTTATTACTTTACAACTACCTTTGTGTGTTTATTTAATACCTAATGTATATCTGCAACTAAATCAAAAGTAAATCAATTTGCCACTGTACTTAATTTTTGGAAAGCTGTTGTATTTATATGTAAACTAAGTTTTAGTTCATAATCTGGTGTTTACACCATAAAATGAAACAATAATTGTGCAGCTTACTAAATAAAGCCGTCTCAGCGTACTAATTTAGATACTTGACTGTCTAGAATTGTGTGGCTTGACTTATCGGAAGACAGTTAAATGAGTACTACAACAGCACAACTAAAAAAATCTATCCAATGATGTGTTATCGACAGTGCTTACCTTGTGTACTATGAGAATTTCTATGATATTTCGCATTTTGACCCAGTATATCTAATAATGGAGGTACAACTCAGTAATAATAACAACTTAAAACTGGATATTAATTATGCGAGTTAAACAGACGTTTAACTGTATGTTGTATGTCAAATTTCATAGCATCACTGTGTTTTTATGAATCGCATGATAATGTTTCTCCGAAACACTTTTCAGTGAATAACAAGGATGCAGTTTCGTTAAATTTGCTTGACTGTAGAATGCTTATCAAAGAATGATAATGAGAGCATATAGTCAGTATTTTTTTTCTCTTTTTTGTTTTCAGATAAAAATTGCCTGAAGTTACCTGTTTTTATCCCATCAAGTGTTGTTCCAAAGCAAGAAACTAAAAGTAGGTATCCATTGATTTGCAGAGTATTAGTGAAATGAATTATAAACCCCATAAGCAACAGTTTTGTTCACACTGGTTAGGCTTCATCTCTAGAGGTGTTTATTAAAGTTCACTGATCCCCTTTGATGCATATATATTTTCCTACTTAGTGGCATTACAAGAAAATTTTGGTAATTCTGTTTTACACAATTAGTCCTAGTTGTCACTAAAACAAAAAGACTAAAATTTGGTGTATTAGAGATATCGATTCCATATTATTTTGTTTATTAGATATATCACACAGCGAAACAGTATTATTTACTGGATGACAAAGTTTCGAACAAAATTTATTGTTCATAATCATATCATTTATAATCACACGACTTCGAAACTTGAGTTTTATAGTCTTCTTTGTTCTCTCCTATTTGTCGTCGTTGGGGTAGTAGAATTTTCCAGATATCTGGGACAGATGTTGAATCATTCCTATTGCATGTGTTTGCAATTGATTCAGTAAACAAAGCTTCCATTATCAATCTCTCGCTCCATCCTGCTACATTGGATTTTAAAACTGTCATCTTATTCCGTCCTATTGTATGGTTGTGTGTAATTGCATGTATCGCTTTAGTTGAACTATTCTCCAGATTTTTTTATCTCATTAGGGTCAACTAATCTAGATTTTGGTAAGTTTGTGTGCTCCGCTAGTCTGAGTGACTGACTGACTGACCCGTTCTGCTACTTTGACCTATGTATTTGACCTGACAATCATTCAAGCAGGTTATTAGATAAACTAAATTGTTTTGTTTAATTGACTCTACAGGATCCCTTAACCAACAAAGCTTATTTCTAATTGAGTTTGTGGGTTTGAATACCACTTTTATTCCTGCCTTGTTAAGAATTCTCCGTAGGGTTCTCGGGATTCCTTCTTTGTATGGAAGTACTGCTGATGATCTATATTCCTTATTATTGGTGTTGTCATTATCCTGTGCATGTTTAACATGCTTGTCATCACTAATATTATTATTATTATCATTACTATCACTACTATTACCATCTATTTTATTTTTACATTTTCCTACATATTTCCTAATTAATTTATCAGGGTAATTATTCAGTTTCAAACGTCATCCAGTAAATAATACTGTTTCACTTTGTGATATATCTAATAAACAAATTAATATGGAATTACTTACTACCACAGTGGCCAAGTTTCACACATTAATCAAAGATATCGATATGTGCATCAGATTAAATTGAATTTCGTTAAAAAAATCTGTCACAGGACTAGAAGTAATTATGATTAGAAGGGGAAAACTCGGTTGTGATAAACAACATCTGTGACCTCTTGACATTCATCGTCAACAAATATGTTTTACAGTGTAGAGCGAGTGAACTGGTTTGCAATGCATACTATCTAATAGTTATTTTTCATTGTCCCATCGGTGACATAGGTGGAAGGTAGCATTTTCTATTCATACGAAGACTGCGAACAACTGACTCGATTAATGGTCATGCAAATTTTTAACGTATTCAGTCAATTGTTTTCCCCAGTTGTTAAGCCAGATACCGTATCACATCAATCCTTCACACTCTTTTTGATTCGAGACTCAAAAAGAAGCCTGTACTCTGCTAACGTTGTTTTTGTCTAAAAGGATTACGCTGAGTGCCGATGAGAATTTAACCCATCTAACAAGACTACCAGCATTGTAGGTCAATACAAGTCTTTTCGCTGCAGTCATTAGTATTTGAAAATTATTTTATTTATTTATTTATTTAAACGCAGAAAAAACTTGGTACAATATGGCACCAAGAAAGATGCGCCACACAATAATAATAAAACAACATACATCAAAAGTAAAAATATAAGTAGAAAACGGATAAAGAACTTCATCTGGAAGGAAAACAGTCATGTTTAACAAGTTCAAACAGTATTCGTTAACTACCATTAGGAAGGGAAGAAAGAAGGAAATTGCAACACGTTTGCCATTGATTACGGTTCTTGGCCATATCCGATAACGTTTCGAGCCATCGATTCGAGCTATCTCGTGGATTCCAACCAGGGAGTCGTGACGCACCAACCGATGCTAATCTAGCACAAATATCCTTCATCCCACGACGCCACGTTATGGACTGACCACCCCTCCGCCTTTTCCATCCCGTCCCAGGGCTAGCGAACAGAGACCTGTACGGAAGCCTCTGGGATGACATTCGCAGCACATGTCCAAGCCACCGGAGCTGGTGTTTCCAGATGACGACACTCAATGAATGGTGATCTCCACTGTGTTCAAACACACGCCGCCGAACCTCAGAATTACTCACGCGATGATGCCATCGAACGCAAGCAATCCTGCGGAGACAGCGATGATCGAACACGCAGAGTCGCCGCACATCCTCAGCTCAGAGAGGCCAGGTTTCACAGGCGTAGAGCAAGACAGCCCGCACCGAAGCATTGTATACCCGATCTTTGACAGCCAGGCTAACGTCGCGACGGCGCCAGAGGTGGCTCAAGTTGATGTATGCCACCCTAGCCTTCATTATACGGTTGGAAATCTCATCCGTCACCCCTCCGCCAGCACTCACACAACTACCCAGATACACAAACTTATCAACAACTTCAAGCGGTTCACCCGCAAGAGTGAGTGCAGGTACAGGCTCCTGCCAATCTTGTAACAGTACTTTTCACTTAGACGGTGCAAAGCACATACCATACTTACAGACACTGATCGCCAACTGATTAAGTGCGATTTGGGCAGCCTGCATGCTATCGCACAGTAAGACGATATCGTCTGCATACTCGAGGTCGAAAAGTCTATCTCCAGTTAGCAGATCTACACCACCTTCACGCACATCCTTCAGAGCTGACTCCAGAATGTCATCGATGGCAAAGTTAAAGAGAACTGGAGAGATTGGGCAACCCTGTCTAACCCCACTGTTGGTTGGGAACAGTGATGATAGTTGGTTGTATGCCCTCACTCTACCTGAGGTGTTTCTGTATAGGGCTTTCAAGATGTTAACAAATTTCTCAGGTGCACCTCTCTCTAACAGACAGTTCCAGAGCACAGTTCTGTCCAACAAATCGAAGGCAGCCCTAATATCAAGAAACACAACGATCGTTGGCCTGCAATACGTGTGACGGTGTTCCAACAACTGACGAAGGGTGAACACATGATCAATGCATCCACTACCTGAACGAAACCCAGCCTGCTCTTCGCGAATCAATGATAAGCGAAACAATCTTTGAGAAAAATGGCACCATAATTAGCTCGCAGGATAGACGTCTGGAGCGCTGGAAAGAACACTATGAGGAGCAGTTTAATTGGCCCACAGCCACACTTAACCTACCGAACATCCAACACCTCCCTGAATGGGATATAGACACAGGTCCTCCGTCCTTAACTCAGGTTACTAAAGCTGTCACTAATCTGAAACAAGGCAAAGCAGCGGGACCTGATGGATTGACTCCAGAGGTATTTAAGTACGGTGGAGACAGTTTACTGTCTGCGTTAACTGAGGTTCTAAGCAGCGTCTGGGAATCAGAGGAAGTCCCATCGGGTTGGTGTAAGTCACTGATCATCCCGATATACAAAAGGTAGACAAGTCTTCTTGTGATAATCCCAGAGGGATTAGCTTGACTAATATAGTATCTAAAATCCTAGGCTCAATAATAATGCGTAGACTAAGTGGTCCTCGGGAGGCACAAACACGAGAAAACCAGGCAGGTTTTAGGCCAGGAAGAGGGTGTATTGATCATATCTTCACTCCCCAACAGATTCTAGAACATAGGCATTCCTACCGGCGTCCAACAATCATTATATTTCTTGACTTAAAGGCGGCATACGATTCTGTCGACCGAGAGGTTCTCTGGCGATGCTTGGCTGTGAAGGGAATGCCGAGAAAATACATTGCACTGATTAAGGCACTCTACTCATACTCATGCAGCCAGGTGAGGGCCTATGGCGAGTAGTCATCTGAAGTGGTGACGACTAGTGGTGTCCGTCAAGGATGCCCATTATCCCCATTCCTATTCAACTTCATCATAGACGTATTAATGAACTTAACCCTAACATACTTCAGCGACTCAGGGATTGACTTGCTACCAGGGAATAATCTCGTTGACTTAGAATATGCGGACGATATAGTCCTTCTAGGCGAGGACGCTGACAAAATGCAGAGTCTACTGAACACCTTGAGCAACAACCTTCGTATGTTTGACATGCGATTCGCCCCTGTAAAATGTAAGATGATGCTGCAAGATTGGACTCCACCGACCCCTAGACTAGAAATAGGAAGTGAAGTGGTAGAGCACGTTGACCACTTCACTTACTTGGGAAGTACCATCAGCCAGTGCCAACGGGTTGATCTCTGACGAAATCTCAGCATGATTACAGAGGGCTAGGTTCGCATATGCCAGTTTACGCCGTCTCTGGCGTAGACGTGACATCCGACTATCGACCAAAGGGCGTGTGTACTGCTTAACAGTCCGCTCCGTCCTCCTTTATGGCTGTGAGACATGGCCATTGAGAGCAGAAGACATGAAAAGATTAACTGTCTTCGATCATAGGTGTCTGTGTTCTATCTCCCGCGTGAAGTGGTATAATAAGGTGAGCAATATTGAGCTTAGGCGTCGAGTGCTAGGTAAGGCGGGGAAATCAGTCTACGAGACTGTGAAATTACATCGACTGAGATGGCTGGGACATGTGTTACGTATGCCTAGTCATCACCTTCCTCGACGGGCAATGTTAGCTGATATAGGGTCAGGCTGGAAAAGAGCTAGCGGCAGTCAAACGAAAACATGGCACCAGTCAATGAAATCCACAACAGTTAGTCTAAGCCAAGTAGGAAGGTGTAGACTTCCTGGTTGGGGTCCTCGGGACGGTAAAAACCCATGGTTGGAAACAATTGGTGACATGGCTCAAAATCGTTCTCAGTGGCGCAGATGCATCCACTCCTTGTGACTTATGATTTCCAATGAAACTGTTTTGTTCTTCGTTATTACTATTCCTTTATCTCACACCTCTGTTTACTGTCTATATTATGCATTTCTTCTCTTGCTTTGTGTCCTACATGGAGTGTGGCGACTTGAACTGCCGCACATATGTGCAAAGTTCTATGTCGAAAACCGACCGAATCAATCCTTCACGTATTCTGCACAGCCTGCGAAGCAAGGCAGCAGCCAATAATTTAGACGCGACTGGTAGTATTTGAAAAAGTCAATACGTTTGCCTTCATAGGGTATTTACTGTTTCAATCCGATCATTGATGCAACACTTAGTGTTTAATGCTAACAGGACATCCGACCGCCATTTAAAAGGCAAGTGTACTACACATCACTTCATCCTCTCCCATAAAGGGTAAACGGTAGATGTCACATCATTGTTACTATATGGGTAGGGGGAAAACTGAATAATGGAAAATATTGATGTTACAGTAGAATAAGGGGACGAAGTTGTGAACTTACTTTGATGTAAAATATAGGCAGCACATAAATAAACCAGCTTTTGCCTTATTAAACTTTACGACTGAGTTTATTCAGTATTATTGGAGTAGATTGTAAGGATGACTTCATCAAGTGAGTCTACCAATCTGATTTAGGAGTAATCTAAATTCCACTACAATACTTACTTTACTTCGGCTATCTCCTACGGGAGGATGAGCCGGCTTCATGAACATCTCGAATCATCGCTGCCCAGGCGCGGCGATCTGATGCAAGGTTTTGCGACAGACGGAGTCCGTAGAAGGTTTGTAGCCCCAGGCACTCCATATCATCCTTGACTGTACCAAGCCATGTTTTCAGCTGTCCACCTCTGCGACATCGCCAAGATGATAATGGTGAGGGATTTAGAACTGATTTGACCAGATCGTCATCTGGTCGGCACAGAACATGGCCAAACCACCGAAGGCGACATTGTTGGACCAATACTGGAATTTGGTTGATGTTGTAGCAACGACGACGCACTTCTTCGTTGGAGCATGGTGAGAGTCGTTTGTAAGAGAGTTCATGAAGTTTCATGGGAATTTGGTACGAGTGATTTTTCCAGAATCGCTCGGCCTTTTGTTTGAGAGTACAGCTCTAGCCTTTACACAACCAAGTGTGACCTATAAGGCAGTAAGAGTGGAGTAGGGAGTTCGCTATCCATTGGCAGCCGGTGACTGGAGTTCGGTTCATACGCCTTTTTGAATGGGGCCAGACATTCAGGACATCCAACAAGCCCTTTGTCCATACGTCTGCCGGTGAGCTCCAGTGAGCTTCATACGCCAGTCGTTGGAGGTTTGGAATCAGGGTTTAGCCATCTCCCCTAGACTGTCGTCCAATGGACAGTCAACCCGGTGAAGAGCGCCGGGCATCCGCTTCCCCCCTCTCACTTTGGTGAAAAACACCTCCGCCACGTGAAGGCAGTGAGTAGGACTTCCTCAAGAGAGGCTATGTAAGACGCCCGGTCATATGGGAGCTTTTCAAGAGGTGTGCGGAGGGGTGGCCAACCCGCAGCGCAAGGCACCCACCCCTGACCATCCTGAGGCTTTGGAGGCAAATGTTTCATGCAAATGTATTCATTCTTATGCATTTTGAGAATTTTGAATATTTTCACTATTCGCGCTCTCCGTATTTACGTCTTACTTTGCCAATGTATTCTCATCTGTTTTCTGTCTCATAATATTGTGAAGTGCGACTACTTTAAACTTTATGCTCTTCTGAGCCAAATATCGTAATGATGTCAGTTGGCTAATTAAATCAACGTCTTCTCTATTTTTCCTTGCAATCTGAGATAGTCAGTTAATATGAATATATCAAGAAAACTACGATTTTTGAGATAAACTCTGATGGAATACATTAGTGGCCTCTAAATTGTTCTTTGAAACGTGTTTTTAATTATTCAGATTTAAAGGATCTGTGCCTATATCCTAATAAAATAGCAAACGAACTATTGTTTAAATATGTTAAATAAATTGGTTAGTGTAAACAATTATGTTCCTATTGAAATACAGATTTCATGTTAGATGATTGCATAATAACTTGTATCGTCTAAATTAATTCAGATGAAGCGTGCTAGTTAGTAGGCATTACCTATACGATATAATATCACTATTATGTAATCCAAATACAAGCGTAACTCCACTGATTTTTAAATGTGCCATCTTTAGAGTATTACAAGTTTTGCTCACTCTTTACAAAAATATATACCTAGCCAGTAAGTATTGATCTGAATATTCACAAGGAGAATGAATATACGTAATCGAAATGCCTTATAAATTATTATTATTAGTAGTAGTATTCAAGTTAATTTCGATATTTCAACGATTGTCAATCCTCATGATGTTTTCTTTTATTGCTTGTTTATTTCAATGACCGATGTTTTTCACCTGTACAGAGTACAATTGTGAAAAGATATACTAGATGTCATTTCTTGTTGTTGTTGATATCTCTTGAAAATATCGAATCCTATCCTCCAAACATTTTGTTCATTTTACGGTTGTTTTTTTTAGCTGAAGATGATACACTGTATACCGAAGACATTGATGATGAAGAAATAGACCGAGTGAGTATTTTTCAGTGCATAATTTTCTTTTCTTTGTCCACTTCTTCAGTTTACATATGGTATTATATATATTCAATACAAATCAGCTTCTGTCAGCCACTGCTTATGACTGAAGTAATTTATCCGAGAATCTAATCCAACATTGTAAATTGTCACAGTGTTCCTTTGATATCATTTTTATCATTCTTTGCGTTCTGAGTGAAATGTAGGACTTCAAGCGTTGAATTTTTCAGTTGTAATGGTGTTATTTTTACGGAGTGTGGTTGCCAACCTCGTGCCCAATCCTCTGTCTTCTCTAGGCTGATTACCGATTAGTAAGCTAGGCGAATTTTAGCAGTACGTCAGCCGGGAGTTGATCTCAAACCTCCTACATGAGACTAGTGAACATTGGAACACCGACGCAAATATATATATTTCAAGAGTTGTTTTGTAAAGATTAGATTTGTGTTTACGAGTTTGACCACGGATTGATATCAGTCAGAGAACCATTGAAAACCAGGGAGTACTGGACAGCTGTTTAATCCTAGTTTGGGAATCATTGGCAGTACGCACCCACTGGGGTTCGAACCCAGGACCTTGCGGTTACAAGGCAAGCTCGTATACCTTTGAGCTACTGGCACCCGATTCAATGGCCTCATGATTTATAACTTCTGCCGCTTTGTGACTAAGCGCGACCACCAACCAATGTCATCGGTGGGAAATCCATCCTCACACTTGATTGGATGGACCTCACTGGCCACGACTTCTCACTAGAACTCCAAGAAACTCCATCCTCTAGCAACTCACTAGCGAGCATCAAATTAATTTTCGAGAGTTGGTTTGTAAGGATTAGATTTGTGTTTTACGAGTGCGTACTGCTGATGATTTCCCAATGGGTGCTTGCTGTCGATGATTTCCAAACTAGGATGAGACAGCTGTCCAGTACTCCCTGGTTTTCAATGGTTCTAATATATATACGGCCTAACATCTCAACTACTTCAGAAGGACTAACCAACGATTTCTGTGATTGAAAAGATAAAAATTCCTGTATTTATTGCCTGATGTTTTTATTCCAGGAGTATTTACTTCAGCCCAGAGAAATCATGCTGAAAGCAGCTATATGGTTCAAAGCCAATGCAGAACACTTGGAACAAGCACGAAGTAAGTTAAGAAAAAGTTATTTCATCCTATTCCAATTGTTACTGAAAGTTGATATGCAGATAAATTGCATTATTTGCAAAAGCTGACATCACGGAAACAGGTGGTAAAAGGCAAATGATAAGCGAAACAATCTCCGAGAAAAATCGCACAATAATCAGTCCGCAGGATACACGATTGGAATGTTGGAAAAAACATTTTGAGGTGCAATTTAATTGGCCTACAGTCATGATGAACTTACCCAGCATCCAACACCTCCCTGAGTGGTATATAGGCACAGGTCCTCCGTCCCCGACTGAGGTTACTAAGGCTGTCACTAGTCTAAAACGAGGTAAAGCAGCAAGACCTGATGGGATGACCCCAGAGGTGTTCAAGGACTGTGGAGACGATTTACTCTCTGCGTCAACCAAGGTATTAGGCAGCGTCTGGGAATCAGAGATAGTCCTGTCGAGGTGGTGTAAGTCATTGATTATCCCGATATACAAGAAGGGAAACACGTCTTCCTGTGATAATCACAGGGGGATTAGCTTGATCAATGATAAATTTATTTGATAAAATTACACTGTGACGCAGTATTATCTGATGATGACGTTTCGAGCACAATTTATTGCTCACAATCATATGAAGGCACTCATATAACTTTCAAACTTTGTTCATGTAATTCCTTTATTTCTTATCGTTCGATTTAAGTGGTGGTAACATTTTCCATATCTTTGATATTGGGAATGAGTCATCCCAATGGAATGTTTGTGGTGTAGATTTGATGAACAAAGATTCGGTAATCAACCTTTCACTCTCTCTAAAAAGCAATATAGGTTAAACTGGTTACTGAATCTTTGTTCATTGAATCTACACCTAACACATTCAATAGGGATGACTCATCACCAATAAATTTACTCTGTAGCGGCACTAATTTCACTTGTGAAGAAATACGATATCTCATGCGAAAGTCATCAGAATCAATCCAACGATATACACAGACAAATTATTAATAAATGAAAAACAATGAAAAATTGTCGATCTCTAATCATACGGGATTCTGTTCGTATGTGTCTACACCTGAATGAAAACAGAAGAGACCGAAAATATGTAGTCCTTTATTGATATAATATTTGCAATATCTGTTGTTTTTATTTTATCATACGTTATTAAGAGTTGCATCCTTAGAATATTTATAGGCTCAGACCTTTTGGAGTGAACACACGTATTTCATATACCATTTTATAGCTGTTTTATTTATTTCTGTTTAGAACGTAAATTAGCCAAAAGACAAAAAGAACAGCAACAACAACAGGAAGATATTAAAGGTCCTAAAAAGGTTTGTTTATTTATTCTAATAAATCATTTTGTGTCATTTTAAATTGTATATTACTAACATGTTATCATTCAATCAGAGTTATCGAAGACACTTACTATGCCTGTTGGATAAATCACTCGAGAACATCCTACTCATAGTGAACCTACTTAACTGTACTGTATGAAATTTGAAATTCTGCTAAGACAAAACCTGATTTTTTCAGTAAGTGATGAACTCGTCAATGATTTTAGCTTGTGAGATTTCTGTTACGCGAAAACAGACTTGACTGCCTAGTGATTTAAGAAACCTTTCAATTAGCTTGGCGACAAAATCTCACAGCTCAACTTTTGCTTCTTTAGAGCAGTAACAGTCGAGTTTGTTAAACCAGATGTTGACATTACTTCATAAATTCCTTTGTTTTCTTTGCATGAAGGATTTTCATCATGAGCTGACGTCAGTTAGAGAACCACTGGAAAATCAACTGGGAGTACTGGACAGCTGTTTCGTCCTAGTTTGGGACTCTTCATCAGCACGCACTCACCGGGGTTCGAACCCAAGACCTTCTGGTTACAAGGCGAGCTCGTAGAACATTGAGCCACTGGGTTTTCCAGTGGTTCTCTAACTGATGTCAGCTCACGATGAAATCCTCCTTGCAATCAACAATCCTACATTCAATTTGCAAGGTATGTATTTTACCTATATGTTAGTTCTTTACTTACTGGAATTAGGATCCACCTACACTTAGTACTGACATGGGTGGAAATATGGATTCCCTTTTGATTGTAAATATACTTTACTGACAAATGCTAGGAAGCTATCCGGGATAGATTTTTCATGTATCAGGCTATGACCCACCCACCTGGGTTGATGATACTACCCAGTTGCCCAGGCTGAAGTAGGTGTAGTGGGATTTGAACCTCGGACCCACCAACTGAAATTTGAGTGCTTAATCTAGTGAGTTACATTTTTGTGCCAGCTGGCACAAAACCTAGATACATACTTGGTTACCTGTCGAATAACTCCTCCTAAGATTGTAACTCTATAAATGCTTGGTTGTAACAATAACCACTCAGTTTTGCCAGTGATATTTGATCCACCTGATTTCTTTCTACCTAACACTTAACTCAAGTTATACAATTCATTTTTCATTCTTTCGTTAATTTTTTTTGTGTATGGTGATAATTGCCGACATATGCGTATTAATTCGCTCCAGAAACGATTTGTAAGACAGATGGATACTATCTGTCGACGTTTGTTATCTGATACCTTTAAATTAAATGGGATACGTAATTATTGAATATTTCAGCTATTTTCTTCTTTTACTTAAGTGATCTCTTGATTGTTGTGATTTAATCTATCTACCATACCGACTTATTAAAAATGTATTAGTTCATCACGTCGTTTTTAGACATTGGAAGATTGTAGGTATTAGTTGGTTATGAGTAACAATATTTTAATCACGTATTGATATCAGTTAAAGAACTATCGGAAACCAGAGAATACTGGATAGGCGTTTCGTCCTGGGTTGGGATTTTTCAGCAGCATGCAGTCATGACTCTACCGGGTATGGAACCAAAGACCTTCAGGTTATGAGGTGAGCTCGTTTACCCTCCACCCACTGGTATAGATTCCAATGACCCATGATTTCTAACTCCTGTTTGTTCGTGGGAGACCTCCAGTGAGATTATAGGTGTTCCGAACTAGAACGCAACAACTGTCCAGTACTCCCTGGTTTTCAGTAGTTCCCTAACTGATATCAATCTTTGATCAAACTTAAAACGTATCAAATCCCCGACAAACTAACACTTTAAATTTTTAAAAAAACATTCCTTAAAAATTTGGTTAATATAAAAATAATGTCAGTTTGGTTTATTAATATGGTGAGATGAAAAACGGTAAAAATGTGTAAAATCCTAAAGTTCTAATATACCGTAGATGAGTGATGCAGATAGTTAACCAATTGGTTCATACACTTAGGTCGTATTCAAACAGCTTCATGTGTATACACAACGTTTGGCTGATAGAACGTATATATTATATGGTGAATCAAGTTAAATTTCTTGAAAATCACTGATTAACTTTACTGTATATTTAAATCAGCATTGAGACTGGAAATAACCTTTTAACTTTCCTTTATTTTTCAAAAGATTCTTTTATATTTGCTTACTTTGTTTGTTTTGAAATAGCGTAAAACGGCTAGTCGACGTAATAATTATTCTTCATCAACAAGATCAAATCGTAATGCAATTTCAAAAGAAGAAGATAGTAAACCAATATCTCGTAAAATTAACTATGAAGCACTTGAAGCAGTTGTTGGTCTATCTGCTGCACCAGCTTCATCCTCCCAATCAGACCAGCATATTGTACCGGCAACTGATGTAGATAATAGTGAACCAAGACCTGGTCCATTGCTTGCATCCACTTTATGTGATAATGAAAATCCTAAAGAATTATTTAAATCACCTAAGCAAATTTTAGACGCTAAGAATCATAAATCACGTTCAACAGTATCTGTATGTAACGGTGAACAGTTAAATAAAGCCTATGGTGACAAAGAAACAACATTGCTGTTGATAATGATAATAATGAGGAGGAGGAAGAAGAAGAAGAAGCAGTTGAAGACGACGAAGAAAATAATGTTGGCAATAATGATCCGTATAATCAATATTTGCCTAACTACAGTCATGGAATCGATGATGAACGATGATGAAGACTGGTCGACTGGTGCTGAATTATGGTGATTACCAGTGAATTGTAAATATTGTAAATATTTTATCAGTGAAGTGAAATTATCCATAATGTATATAGATGAATGTGTATTATCTTCTTTTACTACTCTATATTTATGTGACCAAATGCATTTAATTTCAATTATTTATACATTTATGAACAGTTTATGAATTGAAAAAAACAAACAAACGAAACTCTGTTCACTATTCAACGATTAATTTTTCTGTGTATTTGAGTAACAGAGTAAGTAAGTAGCGAGTTCCAGCTCTCCTACCTGTTAATTTTTTATACCGAATAGATTTTTTTATAATTGTATTTTTTTTCTCGTCTCTTTGTTCACATTTAAGATTTTAAAAGTATTTTATTTGTTTTGTGATTTTCTTTTACTTGTTGATTTGTTATTATTTAATGAAATTGTATTTTACTTTTGTGATTATTACATAACTGCGTGTATGTGATTTCTTAAAGAAGGGAATTTTATTTCATTTAAATAAATATCATATAGTAGAAACGAATGGATTTTTTGGGTAGGGAATTATGCAATACAATAACATGTGTCGTTAACACTTGAATTCAATAAGGCAACTGGAAGAGCCTCACATAGAAATCATCAGTTCAAAGGTGATATTATATTTTTGATTTTGATTTTTTTTTAATTTTTGATTATAGCTTGAAACCACACAGTATTTTTGGTACAAGTATGGAATTTTCAGCATTTGATATCGGTAGCCCAAATTTTGCAGGCCGACCATAGATATCAGGTGTGCGTCAGCAGGTGATCGAACCCCGGACCATGTGCATGGTCGGCGAGAGTCCTGACCGCTGTGCTACCGACGCACAGGTTGAATTGTTTTTCGTAAACCAGAATCCATGAACATGAACAAGTTTATTCGGTATAACACAGTAATAATAACTGGATGATGTTTCGAGCACAATTTATCACTCATAATCATATCAATGTGATTATGAACAATAAATGTCGCGTGAATCGTCATCCATTTATTCAAACTGTATTATTTTGATATAGCAAATAAATCATCTAACGTAAACTTCAATCTACAAAATCCCTGACTTTCTGTTAATTAAAGAAAATCCGTGATTGATGGTCTAGTGTGCATTTGTAGATGCACTATTTATAGGAGTTCTTACTGTTTGCTTTAGAGTGCGTCCACCAGCCAATTGTGCTCATAATCATATCAAGGCATGATATGAGCTTGACATGATTACGAGCAATGAATTGTGCTCAAAACATTAACAGTAAATAATGCTGAACACTGTGCAATTTTCTCAGATGCATTTACTCTACGATAGAATTAAACTACACCACAATGCCTGAGTTCTATTCTTATATCTAGTCCACGTTCTCTTTTTGCTGATGAGCCATAAATGAAAACGAAGACTGCCTAAACCCTGTTCATGAATGATTACCACTTGAAAATGCGAATGTTAGTTTCACACGTGTTTTTGGTGCTATTTTGTAATATATGACGTTGATTAAGATATCAGTTGTTTTTGTATGACATTTTAACAAGCATACATATTTTGAAACCAAGTATATATGATGCATTTATGATATCTTGTATATTCCAGTTAGGTGATTGCATAATTGAGACTACACCTAATATTCCGAATATCTAAGTTGCTTCTGTCTTTTGAGGTCATAATACTAATCTTAAATTTTAGACAAAGGCGTCAAGTTTGCCTTTTCATTTCTCTGTAGCTTAATGGTCTATGAAATATTTTTACCTCATAGTTATTCAAAATGATTAATAACAGAAATGTACAAAATGTAGAAAGTTAGGAGATAACGGTGTATATTAGGACAATGATAGTAGAAAATGCCATAGGTTCTATTCCGTCTTTTGATTTCCAGGTTGTCAGCCTTATATATATCTGAGTTATTCAATGAACTTAAATGCTGACAAGCTTCGGATTTAATTTCTTGTCAAACAATACGCTACTGAAAAGTGATCAGTAGTCATGTAGTGTACTCTAAGGTCAAACAATTTAAATCTATTCCAAGAACTAGAGAATGGTAATCGCTATTCCCTAACCTAAAATAACATGCAGTGTAAAGAAAGCCTTCACATTTTAATGTTGTGGTTTTCTTGGTGAAATTCATCTTGGAATTAAAAAGATGATGTATATATGTATGACAATTCAACTGACTGGTTTCAGCGTAGAACTTTTTACAAAAGTGCAGCAGTTCAACAAGTTGCCACACTCCATGTAGCACACAAAGGAAGACAAAAGAGATTCGGAAGGACAGTAGTAAGCAGAAATGTGAGTAAGAAAGAATAGTAACATGGGAAATCAATAGGGTTCTAATGGATATGGGAGATCACAGTGTGTGTGTTTGTGTGTGAGAACAACTTTGAGCTAATCGATAACTACTACCCTGACATGGTGGTCGGGCCTGGATTTCGTAATGACTCGACAAACTACACTGGCTGGAACTAATGTTCCTGCAGCTCACATCATGCAAGAAAGGTTGTTAGGACAGTAGTTAGACTAAAAGCAGTCACCGGCATGATATTGTGGTGAGAGCTGCCTGCTAGCCAAAATTGGTAGACAGCAGTTTTACGTCCCAAATCTTGATCATGAGAAAAAAACTAGAACATAGACTTACTCAACAACCAATCACAACAGACTTAGCTTGGGCGGATACAATTAGTAGATATATCAACGGACTGTCTACGAAACGGCAACAATGAGGATGACAGAATAACCTTCAGCAGGAAAACAACCAATCAGAAGACGTTACCTCTGTTAACAATAACGAATAAAAATGTTCATAAAAATTTATAATTATCTGTTGATTTTCCCAATAAACGATCTGTTGCCTGGCCCTTATCTTCTGTCGTTACAGTGTAAGATGTTTACACTGTGCTTTGGGTCCGTGTACAAAGCAGTATTGCTGGCGAACAGGGATGTAACAGTTCTTAATGTGTTTCCCTCAGATGGCCAGCTATGCTTTCTGTCTACTCTGGATAGAGGGGGTTAGAAAAGGTCGACCCAAAAAGATTTGCATTCCGACTTACTCTACGGTGGTCCGTAGCCGGTGCTAAGTTACTAATACAGAAACAACTCTAAAAACCATTTCAAACAAGCCGTATGTGATTGGCATCAAGCAGTTGTCCCCTGGGCTCTGCAGTCGCGCAACACTAATTTTGTTTCAGGTACCCCAAGAGAAAAGCACACAAAGGTCTTATGACAATTTAAGTCTTTTATTAATATAAGATGAAACCATAAAATATTTTACGTTTTTCTCCATATTTCATGTATGACAGTTCAGTTCAATTAATCCCATCAGTTTGTTTTTCCACTATTCCAACTGTTTTAGAAGTTGAAACGTATTTAATTTTAAGAGATATATTTGATGTTCTAAGTGCCATTCATACATATAATAGAAGCTCAAATTATGGATAGATAACATAAATTTTTAAGTAATGTACATAGAGTATTTTGTTTATTTCAGTGTATGTCTCCAGTTAATTGGGTTGTATTTCAATTGTTCTCTGTCAGCTTCAATTTCACTTTTTCTTTCGACTTTTCTGAGTCTTTCATTTTCTTCCATGATCTGTTATATGAGAAGAAGGTAGAGACGTATCAGGGAGATATAAGTGTCAACACAACATAAAGTTTGTATATCACAGAAGCAAATATATTTTCTCGTAGCGATGGGAGTTACAGAAGTATGTCCATTATAATATGTAAAAGTTCATTTTATTTCTCCAGCTCTTGATACCGTCTCATTATGCAAGTGTAAATACATAAAGTGAGATCTGAACCTGGTGCACCTTACTATGTTAACGAAGCCCATAATGCCAGTTTCTCACGGAAGATATGAACAACTTTGATATAATCATTCGCAATTGAACTGTTGACTGTGAATTTAGCTTACTTACTTATTAGTTACCACAGAAATACCTATTTAAAATAAACTTTTGTTTACTACACTTGACCTACCAAATTACTATTTATCACTGAAATACCTTCAAAGAAAAAGAGTAAATTCATGAGTCCGTTTAAAATCAACAATTCCATCAATTTGACTGGGAAACACCAGTCACGTGTTAACGTGTTCTACATTTCATTGAACATTCGACAGTAATATTCCATCGACACGCACCAAGCTATAGAGAAAGAAAATGTTATTTTCTTTATTTTATTCCTTTGCCTTCCAAGTGGAACAAGCTTGAGCTTTGAAATTTCAGTAACAGTGGTGTTTTTCGCTGGGTGTGGTTGCTAGCCTCACGTACAACCTTCCCCATTTGTAGGGTAAAGGTGTGCGCCTGCCAGGAGTCGAACCCCGCACCACGTACATGGAGTTCGATTTCAGGCCGTCAGCTAGACATTTATGTTGGGAAGGCTAGAAAGGCTTTTTTGTGAGTTAGAAAAGATAACCACTTAAAGCAGTTATACAACTTTAGGTAAAGGGGATATTGTCAGCAATTCCATGTCAGTAAGGGATCCACATATCTGATAGTATCGATCTCAAAATAGTCATTTCGCTTTTGGTCAGCACTGAAAGCACATTAAATTTGTCGGTTGCAGTCCAGCAAACATTCATATTCATGATTACGTGAATAGCATAGTGACAAAGTTTCACTTAGACATTGAATGGTACACATCCACATGTCAGAAAAAACACGATTTTCTTTGAAGTTGAATTTGCTCCTATCCGACGAATATCTAGTAGTATGAAAACAAAGTCAGGAGAAGATTATACACAGTTATTTCCTAACATCTGATACCAAATTTCCTGTTTATTATACTCATTAAAAATACATCATATGGATAGTAGCATTAGTACCTAACCTTCATTTTGTTTTCAGTGTTATCAAGCACTAAACCAACCCCTTAACCTGCTACTTACAACGATCGTACACTAATTACCTACCCCCAATAACTGTCATATTATTAAGACGTACTGTCGTTCAAATACTTCCTAAAAGATCGTGCTTTTAAAATATCTCAATAAACAGACAGTATCAGACCTTTCTTTTTG